CGCCTCCCCGAGCGGGGCGACCGAGGGCCCATCTCCTCGTCCCCCGGCGCCCCTCTCCCGTTCCCCTCCTCCCGCCGCCGCCGGCCTGCGCCACCGGGCCCTGCCCGCGTGGTGTTGGCGGCGGCGGAGGCCGTCCCTTCCCCGCGCGCGGTGCCATGGCTCGGGTGGTGGCGTCTTGCGGCGGTGCTCCTCGGTCGATGGTGGTTCCGGCAGCGGCGGCTGCTCCTGGCGGCGCAGCTCCAGGTGGCCTAGAGGCGGCGGAGCAGCCACTTGGCGGCGAGTTGGCGTGGTGGATGGTGGCGGCGTCCTCCCGACCCAGATCTGGGCCCTTTTGGGCCCCATCTGGGTCTGGGCGGGCCTGACTCGGTCTCGCCTGCGGCGGCTCCGGCGGGGCGGTGGTGGCGCGGCTCGTGCGAGGGGTGGTGGAGACGGCAACACGTCTACTGCAGCTCGGCGATGGGTGCTTCACGAGCCCCTTTTGGGCTCGGCCGGGCCTTGAGGGCCTGGTACGCCCCCCTTGCCGCTCCGGTCGGTGACCGCCGATGGCGGTGGAGGTTGTCTCCTCCGGCGTGGCTGCTCTCGCTGCCATTCCTCGTTCCCGGCTGCTCCCTCTCGTCCTCGTCGGTCTCGCTTCGATGACCATGGTGAGGCTGCGGTGATGATTGCAAGATCGTGGTGGCGCACGTTCGTGGGTGGCTTGTCTGGTGGAGCGCGTCGGACCGTTCGGGGTGTGGGTGTTTGGCGGATGGGAGAAATCTGGGCCGGCTTGCCGGCACCGACGCGGTGACGCCCGTGGGCGCCATCGTTCCTTCCTGAAGGGCGTCGGGTCTTCCCCTTCCCCACACCCCTCCGTGTACCGGGGGAAACCCTAGGACCTGTCCGGGCAGCAACGTCGTCGTCGTGTTCCTTCTTGAAGGTGCTGCTTGGTATGCGGAGGTTCGAGGTGCCTGGAGCGAGGTGGCACATCTCTGGTAGGCACAACGGTTTTGGGTTATCATCGTTTTCGTCGATCTGACGCTGTTGACTTTATTTTCTCTCTTCTTTCTCTTTTGTTTTTTTGGGCATGCTTGTGTTGTTTGCCTCAGCATTGGACTCTTTATTGTATTGGGTGGTTGCTATATCAATATAGCGGGGCGAAAGCTTTTTTCTTAAGAATCGACTGCCTCAATTTGAAATTCAGTCGACTGCCATTTAGCTAATGTGACTAAATAGACTAACCTCGTGTTGAATTTCTTCAAAAGAAAAATGGATTGAAAGATTCCGTAGGAATTTAATAGGAATCGTATCAACGTTTTCATTTGTTCCAAAGGGTTTACACTTGTATGCCCAATTTTGTTGCTGAGAAGAAAAGACCCTCACAATATGACCCATGACACACCTTTCATCTACCCTGCAAAAGAAAGGCACACCTTTCATCTTATTTATCATGTAGGAGTATAAAAAAAAAGGGAGCGGCAGATTTATGACAAAATTTTAAGCCAACAGACGCTATCGAAAACAGTCACGCACTTTGTTTGGTTGTGTAGGGCGCGGTTGCAGGGACGTAACCTGAAACAGAATGGTTTGATCACAAGCTTGTCTTGTACCTTGCGACCCAAACCTCGGGGATGAATTCCAAGAGAATAATCTCAATCTTCTCAGTTACTCCACCGAGATGCGGACAAAGATGGCATTGCGCGTGCCGCAGATGCGTCCAGCCTTGGAGAGACCCGAGGTGACACAAGAGACAAGCTCACCACATCGGAAGGTATGAACTCGAGGCCTCACCATTTTTGTTGCTTCGAACAAGACAACGGGGTCGAACAATGCCCATGGCTTGACTCACCCGATAACCTTAATTACTCTCTGCAGGGAGTGGAACCGCGCACTTGGGGTGGGATAGCATCCATCATGTTCCAGCAGCAGCAGCCGCAGCCGCAGCCGCAGCGCCAGCAGCAGCAGGAGGACGTGATGTCGTCGGCGACGTCGTCGCCTGCGTCCACGCTGTACTCTCCCATGCCGTACGCTTTCGCGGGGACGTCGGTGCAGGAGCTGAGCTCGGACCAGTGCAGCGTGCGCCTCATCAGCCTGCTGTACCAGTGCGCCTCCGAGGTGGCCGCCGGCGAGTTCGACCGCGCTAACCTCTGCCTGGAGCACATCATGCAGCTCGCGTCGCTGGACGCGCCTCACACGCTGCAGCGCCTCGCCGCCGTCTTCGCCGACGCGCTGGCCTGCAAGCTGCTCAAGCTCCTGCCGGGCCTCTCGCGGGCGCTCCTGTCGTCTTCGAGCTCCGACGACGCCCACCTCGTCCCGGCCGCGCGCCGCCACATGTTCGACATGCTCCCGTTCCTCAAGCTCGCGTACCTCACCACCAACCACGCCATCGTCGAGGCCATGGAGGGTGAGCGGTTCGTCCACGTCGTCGACCTCTCCGGCCCTGCCGCCAACCCCGCGCAGTGGATCGCGCTGTTCCACTCGTTCCGCGGCCGGCGCGACGGCACGCCAAATCTCCGCATCACCGCCGTCCATGAGAGCAAGGAGTTCCTGGCTGGCATGTCCGCGGTGCTCGTCAGGGAGGCCGAGGCGTTCGACATCCCGTTCCAGTTCAACGCTGTGGAGGCGCGGCTCGAGGACATGGACTTCGACGCGCTCCGGCACAACCTCCGCGTCAGGTCCGGCGAGGCGCTCGCGGTGAGCGTCGCGCTACAGCTGCACCGCCTCCTCGCGGCCGACGACACCGGAGGCAGGCGGCAGGGCGGCCTCACCCCGCTCCAGATCATCGCGCGGTCCAGCCCGAGCAGCTTCGGGGAGCTCCTGGAGCGGGAACTGAACACGCGGCTACAGCTGAGCCCCGACGCGTCCGCGTTCTCCTCCATGTCGCCGCAGTCCCCGATAGGCGGCCACTTCCCCGCCGTAGGGCAGCAGAGGCCCAAGATCGGGTCCTTCCTGTCGGCGGTGAAGGCGCTGTCTCCCAAGATCATGGTGGTGACGGAGCAGGAGGCGAACCACAACGGGGCGGCGTTCCACGAGAGGTTCGACGAGGCGCTCAACTACTACGCATCGCTGTTCGACTGCCTGGAGCGCGCGGCGGCGGCGCAGCGGGGCAGCGCGGCGGCGGAGCGGGCGCGGGTGGAGCGGTCGGTGCTGGGGGAGGAGATCAGGAGCATCGTGGCGTGCGAGGGCGGGGAGCGGAAGGAGCGGCACGAGCGGGCGCGGCAGTGGGCGGGGAGGATGGAGGCGGCGGGGATGGAGCGGGTGGGACTGAGCTACAGCGGCGCCATGGAGGCGAGGAAGCTGCTGCAGAGGAGCGGGTGGGGCGGGTACGAGGTGAGGCACGACGCCGAGGGGCACTGCTTCTTCCTCTGCTGGCACAAGAAGCCGCTGTACGCCGTCACCGCGTGGAGGCCGGCGGGGTACCACCACTCCGGCGGCGCCAGGTCCAGGTGATGGATGAGTGGAGCGTGTCTCCTCGTGTGCCGCATGTACCCTGCTGTCTCTCTCTAATTCAGGTGTGTTAATTTGACTGTGGATTGGGCTGGATGAACAGTTTTTCTTTTCTTTTTTTGAAAAAAAGCCTCGGGATTTTTGGATAAAGGACGCTTTTATTATCTAAAAAGTAGCATCAAGATCAAAGCATTATGAGTAACACCCGCCTCTGCAATAACTAAGATGCATACAGCCAATCATCTAAAGTCCGATAAAAAGATAAAAAAGACGACAAATGGACAACCGTAGAGTCATATAGACCGACACTATGTCTATGTCGAAAGGGGCGGTGAACCGATCCAGAGATTATGCTGCCACCCTGTTCCAATCGCGTACATACCGCCTTGAACAGCGGTTGGTACTCCACTCGTTATAGCGTAAACCATGTATGAAACGAGTGCGTACAACGAAAAATAACCTGCAAAGGAGAAGCATTTTTGTTATTGAAAACCAAATTGTTTCTATATAGCCAAAGCGACCATAGTAAAACATACACTCCCATCCTTATTAGCATTTTCAGTCTATTTGAAATACCATCCAACCAATGACCAAAAATATTGGCGACACTTGTGAGCGGATACAAATTTGACGCTATTTGAATGACCGACCACGTAGAACGTGTAAACTTGCATTGGAAAAAGAGGTGTTTAATTGTCTCTTCATGAGTGCAAAAATAGCACTTCTTAGAGCATCTTCAACAGCCGCCGAACGCGCCGCGCGCTAAAAATTACTTTGTCGCGCGCCCATCGCCTGGTTTGGCACGGCATGCAGCGCCGGCTCCAGCAGCCGCGCTAAAATGTAGAGCGCGCGCAGCTCCAGCAGCGCGCAAAAATGCAGCGCGCGCGACTCTCGCACAAGCAACATATGCATTCCAAAACAGAAGCAAAAAGATCAAACACAAACAAAATAAATCAAAATAAATAGTTCAATTTCGTTATTACAACTCAAACAAACAGTTTATTGTTCAATACAATAAATAGTTCAACAATACAAGAAATAGTTCAACAATACAATATTGAACGCACAAATCATGATGCTCTTTGTCGTCCATTCCATGCGCCCCACTCCGCAATGAGATCCTTCTGAAGATCATCATGCGCTACGGGACGTCGAATGGCATGATAGGAGGCAACAAAACGGGCTACCCTTTCAGCCCTCCATCGCACTCGCACGGGATGTCCCAAGAGTTCATACCGAGAGTAGTCTACATCTTGGCCACGCTCATTCTCGATGATCATGTTATGCATGATCACACAAGCGTGCATGATGTACCAAAGCATTTTTTGATTCCAAAATCTAGCCGGTTCTCTCACAATAGCAAATTGGGCTTGCAAAATCCCAAAAGCTCTCTCCACATCTTTTCTAGCCGCCGCCTGAGCATTGTGGAAATCAAGATTTTTCTTACCTTCAATGGCTTCACAAAGGTTTGCCACTTTGAATAGATGCCATCCGCTAGATAATAGCCATAGTTGTATGTACGTTCATTTGCTACAAACTGCACCGGTTGCAAATCACCATTTGCAATCTTATTCATCAGTGGTGACCGGTTGACAATATTGATGTCATTCAAAGATCCAGGCATCCCAAAGAATGCATGCCAAATCCAAGTCTCTTGATCGGCCACCGCTTCAAGGATTATAGTGGAACCCTTTTTTGGTCGTGGAATTACCCATGCCATGCCTTTGGACAATTCTTCCAACTCCAATGCATGCAATCTATTGAGCCAAGCATACCAGGAAAGCCACGAGCTTTGTTCATCTCCAATAGCCTTGCAGCGTCTTTAGCATTGGGAGATCTCAAATACTCCTGGCCAAACACTTGCACAATTCCAACTGCGAAGTGCTTGACACACATGATGGCTTGTCTCTCACCCATAGCCAAGTGATCATCAACTAAATCAGTCAGGATACCGTATGCCAACATATGCAAAGCGGCTGTCACCTTCTGAAAGATGCTATGCCCGAGCTCTCCGGTGGCATTCCTCCTTTGCTGAAAAAACCGGTCATGGCTCGCTAGTTTCTCTGCAATGCGCCTGAACAACTCGTGATCATCCTAAACCGGCGACGAAAGTACGACTCCGGGTATGTGGGATTCTCCACGAAATAGTGCCTCATCAATCTGTTATGGGCATCAATCCTATCCCTCCAAATTTTCTGCCGACCCATAACCGAACCACCGTGCTTCGGTTTTTTATTGATGTGCATAGCTAGGATCATTGCAAGATCCTCCTCCTCTTCCATATCAAATTCTTCTTCGGAAGAATCATACGTCGAACTCATCTACAATGTTCAATACTATGCTATAAAAACTACAATCAACATGAACCAAATTCATGAAGTTTGAGCAATACATACCTTGCAGGCGTTTTGTCGAACACCTTGCGAGCGCCGAGCGGCAGCGAGCGCCCGGGCGCTGTTCATCGAAGGACGGACGCGCGCGAGGGGAGGCGGTGACTAGAGGGGGCGGAGGAAGCCGCGGCGGCACGGGGATAGGTCGGGGAAGCGCCGGAACGGTCCACGGATGGCGTGGGCGGCAGCGGCACCGCGGCTGGAGAGGGGGTGAGTTGCGAGCGAGCGCGCGAGAGTACAACGGGCGGGAGCGGGCGCAGCAAATAAGCGGCGCGATGCAGTTTTGGCCCGCGCGTTGAACTAGATATGTCGCGCACGCGGTTTTTGCGCGCCCGCTGGAGCCACTATACCGGTTGCGCGCGTAAAATGGGCAATTTTGCGGCGCAGCGCTAGTTTGGCGCGGTTGTTGGAGATGCTCTTACTCCCTGGCCAGTTACGCCGTGCGAGGTTGTCTTTGGTTAGAACAACTCCCATACGAAGAGACTGGGATGAACAGCTTGTTCTACCGAGTTTGCCACTGCACAGGAGTACGGGTACAGCGCTCCAAAAAAAGCTTTAAAATCCAGGTGAATATTTTGGGCCTCCAATTCGGTTAGACAACTTTGGTGTTTCTTGTTCCCATCAATGGTCAACTAGATTAAACACGTTCTACCTCCCTACCGTGTTCATGTTCATCTTTTATCCTCGACGATGATCGGTTTTTCGTGCGAACTTGCACCACCCCCACGCCCCTAA